ACCTCTGTAATTGTGTACAAATCAAAGAACTACTTGATGGCTGCCATTAATCCTTTCTATTATAACAACACCCCTCCCCCCCATCTCAGCTCTGCCTATCCTCCCAATACAGTTTTAAAATGCTGACGAGAGAGAGAGAGAAGTAGAATCAGAACAGTGGCATGGGGGTACATGCAGCCCCTGAGATGAGAGCTCCTCGTATAAAGGAGGGGGATTGCAGGGAGTTTCTGAAATAGGAAATGGGATGGTGGCACATAGGGATTCTGTGTGGAGGGTAGAGGAATGCAAGAAGCTCCTGGTGTGGGTAATGTGCTTGGCCTACAGAAATAACAAGTGTGCAACTCTCTAGTATGCTTAAGCTTTAAAAGTAATGTTGGTACATTAAATTACAACATTTCTTATAGTTCACTGGTTTGATAAGAGAAGAGAACAGGCCTATTGGCAAACTCAGTTTAAATACCATCTGTTTCTTTATGCATAGGCACCATTTTTTAGACACATTCACACCATAAGGCTATTAGAAGCTATGATTAGTTTATAGTACATTTGTTCTCTCACCCTTGCAATTCAGTCCTTCTCAAAGGCTTACGTTTGCTTAGGGATCTAAAAATAATTCAAATGTGTCTATGTTAAGCTGAGGACTTCAGGATGATAGTCCAATTATGCTCTGTAGTCTCCTCCAGTATCATTCCATCAATGAGTCTGCAAGGGCTGCTGCGATGTGTAAGCAGCATAGATTGTACTAAATACATCCCCCATCTGCAGGTTCTTCTGATGTGTAGTCAAGTGATCCAAGATCACAACAACTTTTCTGACATATCACTGTGTTGATCTAGGTCAGCATTTTTTCTGTTTATTGAATAAATGGAAGGCCCAGGGAACTTATAATAGGGTATCAAGCACTCAACCTAGGTCACTGGTCCAATCTGTGGAAGAAGCTAGAAGTGACCTAAAGTGGCATCTTAGGTGGTCTATGTGAAATAAGGTTGGTGGCCTTAGTTCAATTCCTAATAGAGAGATTTCCCATCACAAAACCTATTGACATCACCAGTGTTGATTGTCTTATTAGACAGCCCTAGGAACGAACAAGCATGGAATTGAACCACTCTTTCACCCCTTAAGTATTTAAGTTGATCCACTGAGGAACTCTGGAATGGGAAACTTGCATTGAAGTCTCCATGCTAAACACATTTGTGAATCTATGGAAGACTAATGTCCAAGATTATCAACCTAACCTCTTTCATGAGTTGCTGGACATTCACTGAAGAACAATGAAACAGCATTAATATAATAACTTACGCCTGAAGAGATGCACAAATGGTTTCATAAACCTCACTACATATTCAAGTTCAGGCTTGTGAACTCTGCCCAGCTGAATCAAATGTTGTTCCAGGGGAATACTAGCCATCTCTTCCAATTCTATGTCGTTATATACATGTCCTAATGAAATTACAAACAGAGCATATCCTTGGCACTTGGCTCTCAGAGATGCCTTCTTTAATGTGTCTTTGTCCCACTGACTTGTTTCTCCAGCAGATATAACAAAGATAACCTTGTGTTGTCTGGAGTGGGGTGCAGTTAAGAAAACATTATCAATTGTCCACTGTATGGCATGGCCAAGAGCAGCTGCTCCATTCAGCTGTTGAACAGATTCTTGGATATGTCTTTTCATTAACTGTCTCTTCTTGTAGGTGACAAAGTCAAATTCTTTCTTTACAGGGCTCCTCTCTAAGTGGGGTTTGAAACCTGGTGGAGCATGGCTCACCACAGCCACCCTATCACCTGTGGAAGAAGTCTCTGGCTCAGAGGAAATGTCAAAGTTATCAAGTACTCTGCTCAAGAAGTTTTTCATGTTCTCAAATTCGGCACCACTCATTTTCCGTGAGCTATCCAAAATGAAAGCAGCATCCACATATGCCGGTGGTGATCGGGATCTGCGGTGTTCACAAAACTCATCTGGTTTACATTTGTCTGCAAATTAACAGAAAATTAGTTTGTACTTCTCTTTTTAAGAAACTGAAAGTGTGACAAGAGAAATGGCATCTGAGGCCCCAGTTCCGGAGAGGATTAAAGAGCCTAAACTTAAAGTATTAACAACAATCTTCTACATCTGTGAAAATTATGTATAATTAAAATCAGAAAGCTAAGGGACTGATCCTGTGAAATAATCTGCTCCTCACAAGATTAGCCCTTATTACTAGGGTTGTTGATTAATCACAGTTAACTCACGCTATTAATCAGTTTTAATCGCACTGTTAAACAATAGAATATTAATTGAAATGTATTAAATATTGTGGATGTTTGTCTACATTTTCATATATATTGTATTGTGTTATAATTGAAATCAGTGTATATTATTTTTTATTACAAATATTTGCACTGTAAAAATGATAAATGAAAGAAATAGTATTTTTCAGTTTACCTCATTCAAGTACTGTAGTGCAATCTCTTTGTTATGGAAGTGCAACTTACAAATGTAGATTTTTTTTGTTACATAACTGCACTCAAAAACAATGTAAAACTTCAGAGCCTACAAGTCCACTCAGTCCTACTTCTTGTTCAGCCAGTCACTAAGACAAACAAATTTGTTTACTTTTACGGGAGATAACGCTGCCTGCTTTTTATTTACAATGTCACCTGAAAATGAGAACACGTGTTCACATGGCACTGTTGTAGCTGGCATTGCAAGGTATTTACATACCAGATATCCTCAACATTCGTATGCACCTTCATGCTTTGGCCACTATTCCAGAGGACATGCTTCCATTCCGATGACGCTCGTTAAAAACAACAAATCTGTTAATTAAATTTGTGACCAGGGCCGACTCCAGGCACCAGTTTGCCAAGCAGGTGCTTGGGGTGGCCACTCCAGAGAGGGGCGGCAGGTCCAACTATTCGGAGGCAATTCGGCGTACGGTCCCTTACTCCCGCTCGGAGCGAAGGACCTTCCGCCGAATTGCCGCCACAGATCGCGATTGCGGCTTTTTTTTTTTTGGGCTGCTTGGGGCGGCCAAAACCCTGGAGCCGGCCCTATTTGTGACTGAACTTCTTGGGGGGGGGGGACTGTTTGTCTCCTGCTCTATTTTACCCGCATTCTGCCATATATTTCATGTTATAGCAGTCTCGGATGATGACCCAGCACATGTTGTTCATTTTAAGAACAGTTTCACTGCAGATTTCACAAAACGCAAAGAAGGTACCAATGTGAGATTTCTAAAGATAGTTACAGCATTCGACCCAAGGTTTAAGAATTGAAGTGGCTTCCAAAATCTGAGAGGGACAAGGCATGGCACATGCTTTCAGATGCAACACCCTGATGCGGAAACTACAGAACTCGAACCACCAAAAAAGAAAAAGACGGTTACTCACCGTTGTAACTGTTGTTCTTCGAGATGTGTTGCTCATATCCATTCCATTAG